TGGCTAGGCCTGGTTGAGTGACTAGGCAGCTGGGTATAATATTCCCTATGATGAGACTGATAATCAACTCCATGGTAGAATCTACTGTGAGCAGCTGGGTAAGCTGCCTTACGGATGTGGTCTGCTTCCTGTATATAAGGAGAAGCCTTGGGGAACCGTCTCTAGTGTAGGGCACCCTTGGACCCTGCATGTAGCTGTGTTGTTGTTCAGCCGCCTGCCATGCTCTGCTGACCTTGGGACTTACAATGGACTTGAATTAATGGCCTGCCATGTGGTTTGGTAACATCGGGACTGTGCCATTTTATTTGTCGACCCTGGGCTTGTTAGCCTCAGCAGCCAGTAACTGCCTGAGTGAAGAGATGCCTCTAGCTTCAGTGGACCGGGAGCAAGAGGCAGAGCTGAAGCCCAAGGTCAAGGGGCTTTCACACAGCCCCTAGAAGCTGGCATTTTAAGCTTGGACTTTTAGCCTCCCGAACTGTAAGAGAATAAACTTCCTGTTTGTTCAAGCCATCCCTTTTATGGTATATTCCAGTCAGAGCAGCACTAGGTAACCAGAACAGTAGTTTCCAAGGAAACCGAACCCTGGGTCCACTTCACAGTCCAGAGCTGATGCTGACCCTTTTCATGCAACTCTGTATCCCTTTGATGGTATCAACACTCCCATTTACATTTCAGCTAACCGCCATCTTTCTCTCCAGTCCTATAATACTTGTCTTTCTCCTTGGTGAGACACACATTATTCTCTGATATGCAGTTCTCCTTGTCGAAATGAGTCAATAAATCTGACTTTGCTGAACTACAGGTTTGCCCCTGGTGAGTTTAGCCTGATTGGAGTAGGACAGTCTCAGACCTTGTTTTGGCCTCTATGTTTATTATAAATTTCATTTTTTTCTTTAAAGTAACATTTGTTTTAAACTGTAAGTTATAAGAAGAAGTATATATATGGGTGACTTAGTAAGCACATGGAGAGTTGCTCAACATTATTAGTCATTAGGGAAACAACCAAAACCAAACCCATACAGATGATGATGGCAGTAATCAAAGATAATACACGTGCTCATGAGGATGTGGAGAAACTGGGTCCATCACATACTGCTAATGTGAATAGAAGATGAGGCTGAAGCTTTGAAGAACAATCAGTTCCTCAACAGTTTAATCATAGAGTTGCACTACCCACTATTCCACCGATGTCATCAAGTCGATTCTGACTCATAGTGACCCTACAGGACAGAATAGAATTGCCCCATAGATTTCCAAGGCTGTAAATCTTTATAGAAGCATATTATCCCATCTTTCTCCTGTGGAGTGGCTGGTGGGTTTGAACCACTGACCTTTTGGGCAGCAGCTGAATATGTTCACACTACACCACCACAGCTCCTTTAGAGTTAACATGTTGTTGTTGTTGTTATTTGCCATCGAGTCGGCCCGACTCATAGCAACCCCTCCTTGGGTTTCTGAGGCAGTATCACTACAGAAATAGGAATGCCCAACCTTCCTTCCGAGGAGTGGCTGGTGGGTTTGAACCAGTGCCTTAGCCACTTATGCTACCAGAGCTCCTAGAGTTAACATATGATCCAGCAATTCCACGCCTATGTATGTACCTAAGAGAAATGGAAGCATACGTGTATACAAAAACTTGTGTAGACATGAATGTTCATAACATTATCCATAACTGCCAAGAAGAATTTAGTATCATGACAGGGACAGACAAACATTTTGATAAAAAAAAGGTAAGTGCTAATGTACACATGAAGGATTGTGAGTGCAGAGCAGAGCATATGAGCCCAACTGTGGTGGTGGTATGTGCCGTTGATCGGACCTGACTCATAGTGACCCCTCCTTGGGTTTCCGAGGCAGTGTCACTGTGGAAGTAGATTGTCCAACCTTCCTTCTGAGGAGTGACTGGTAGGTTTGAACTGCCAGCCTTCTGGTTGGTAATCAGGTGCTTTAGGCACTATGCTACCGGAGCTCCTGAGCCCAGTTGTAGAAACTGGAAATGTTTTCTCTGATGGGAAATGATGCCTGAGCTGAATCATGAAGGTAAAACAAAAGTTAGGCAGGTACTGTGAGGTGGAAAAGACACTGGCAGAGATGCAGTTTTGAGATCAATATAGGAATAGGGAGAAGTAGTAGGGGCAATCTGGTGTTTCTAATCTGCAAAGTACACTAGGGAAGTGCTGGGTCCATCACTAAGTAGCTTGGATAAAAGAAGGAAAAAACTAGTAAATCCTTCAAAAGTGAACTACTAGTTAACAACTAGTCAAAGGAGAATTCAGAATGCTTCACCTCGGAGGGAGGTGACAACTGAGTGAAGTCTTGAGGGATGATAAAGATTTCACCAGGGAGAACAGCTTATACAAAGGCCAAGAGATGATAAAGAACATGTACTGAGGATGGTGTGTAATTCCTTCCAAATGGAGTGTAATGTCAGGATATGCAACTGGAAAATGATGGACATTACACAAATGTTTCTATAAGCACCTGTAGATTGCATCCACTGTCCCGCTTATAATTTCCACAAAGCCATTCTACAGGTGAGGAAATAACCATAGGAAAAAGTGAAAGAATCTGCCCAAAGTTACACTTGTCCACCCAGGTGTTAACCCACCCAGTCTAAATCCAGAGGTCATGAGTTCAAGTTTCACACTGTCCTGTTTCCCTTCCTAACACGTGCTTGGACTTTATCTCACCAGCATGGGGAGCCACTGGGAAGTTTTTCAGCATCTGCTGCTTTGTTTCTTCTCGGTCCTTTTTTCTTTTTGGCAGAGCAGAGGGAAATGCAGAGGGGAATTTCGTTGGGTACAGAATGCTTTTCTGATCATCCTCCCTCTCCCCATGGTGTGACTGACTAGTCTGCATCTGGCTAGAGCCATCTTTTGCATTTGGGGTCTTAATCACTATGCTGCCATTTACATGAGACTTTATTACTTTAAAGGAGCTCTCGTGGCATATTGCTTAAGGTATTTGCCTGCTAACCAGAAGGCTGGCAGTTCAAACCCATCAGTCACTCCTTGGAAGGACGATTGGGCAATCTACTCTGTAGTGATACTGCCTCGGAAACCCAAGAAGGAGTCACTATGAGTCGGATAGGACTCAACGTCAATGAGTTTGTTTGTTCGTTTGTTTTTTACTTTGCATTTTCAACCTTCCTGTGTTGATAAAGCAAAGAGTAACATCCTTATTTATAGACAGGGAAGAGAAAGAGTAAAAGATTGTGCAAATGCATATAGTA